TTCACATCCTTCTAGTTGCTGTACGTGGGACTCGGCCTCGCGTTGGACGGAGAAGTGGTGCCTCGGGGCGCTCCCGGGATCCGAACCTGGGCCGCCAGCATCAGAGCGCGCGCACTTAACCGCTAAGCCACGGAGCCGGCCCAGCTATAAACTTTTAAGTGAAAAAATAGCAGAAAATCTTTGGGACTTAGAGATAGGTGAAAAGTTCTTAGACTAGACATCAAAAGAATGATCTATCCAAGGGAAAATTAATAAATTTCATCTCATCAAAATTAAAAATCTTTTGTTCTGTGAAAGCCTCTGTGAAGAGGATGAAAAGATAAGCTACAGACTGGGAGAAAAGATTTACAAACTACGTATCTGACAACAGACTACTATCTAGAATATATACAGAACTTTTAAACCCAGCAGTGAAAATACAAAGGATCCAATTAGAATATCGGCAAAAAATATGAACAGATATTTCACCAAAGAGGATATACAGATGGTAAATAAACATATGAAAAGATGTTCAACATTACTAGCCAGTTGGGGGAAATGCGAGTTAAAACCACAATAGGTAGGTATTGCTATATACCTATCAGAATGGCTAACATTAAAAATAGTGACAACACAAAATCCTGGCAAGGACGTAGAGAAGCTGTATCACTTATCCACTGCTAGTGGGAATGTAAAGTGGTACAGCCACTCTGAAAAATAGTTTGGCAATTTCTTATCAAACTAAACATGCACTTACCATAAGACCCAGCAATTGCACTCTTGGTCATTTATCCCAGAGTAATGCAAACTATGTCTACACAAAAACCTGTATACAGATGTTCATAGCAGCTTTATTTGTAATAGCCAGAAACTGGAATCAGTGCAAATGTCCTTCCACAGGTAAATAGTCAAACAAACTCTGGTATATACATACCATGCGTTACAACTCCTCAATAAAAACAAACTATTGACAGACTAACAATTTGGACAAATCACCGGGGAGTTTTACCAACTGAAAAGAGCCAATCCCAAAAGGTTACATACTCTATTGTTCCATCTATAAGATGTTTTTGAAATGACGATATTTTAGAAATGGAGGACAGACAGCCAGAGGTTAGAAAGATGGGGGTGCAGAAGTCAATTGTGTGTGGTTGTAAAAAGGCAACTTTGGAGATCCTTGTGGTGTTGGAACTGTCCAGTGTCTTGAATGTGCTGGTATATAACTTGTATATAACTGAATACACACAAGTGCAAGTACAAGTAAGACTGGGAAATTGAGTAAGATTGGTGGACTGTATCAAGTCAATATCCTGGTTGTAGTATTATACTATAGTTTTTCAAGATATCAGTGTTGGGGGAAACTGGGAAATGTGTACAAGGTATTTCTCTACATTATGTCTTACAACTGCACATGAATCTGCAGTTATCTCAATAAACATTTATTTTTTTAAAAAATTACTTGAATGATAAAATATCACATGCAGCCAGGCAGAATTGTACAAAACCTTAAGAAAAGTTAGAAAATTTTTGACCTGATGACAATTTCATGGTATTTTGTAGATCTAATATAGTTTCAATGATTCCTGGGTCATACAGCCCATGAAATGAGTTCTTGACTGACAAGGCAGCAATGAATATTTAATATCTCTTTGCCATTATTGTCATTACAACCCTTATGTTCTTGGGCCAAAAGGTAGCGATGTCATATCCATGATTAATGACTTCAGAAAAGTATAAGCACTTGAGCATTCTTGAAGTTCTTTATTAAAGAACTTGAGGTTCTTTATTAAAAGTTCTAGCTCTTATCACTTTCCCTTTTTAATAATATTTGCAAAAATAGTATGCACAGATATTTATCTCCCAGTAAGCATGTTTATAATTTTACAAAATGTGGATAGCAAACTTCTGTACACTGTTTCCCTGGATAGTTAAGAGGGGAAAAAGGATTAAAGGAGTATTAGGGAAAATTGGGAGTGTGCATTTCTTTCCTGAGAATTTTTTTTGATCTTAGGTATTTGGTAGAATATCTGTGCTTTCCTTCTCAGTATCTCCAGTGTCATGCACCTCCAATATCTAATAAATGGCAAATATAATTTGAGTTCAATAAGATGACTAACAGCTGGATACCCAGTGTTTGAAAATCAATTGAAATGATATAGTCTAAAGAACTGAGAAATATTGAATCAGTGCTATGAATCAGTGCTATTTCACACCTCTTCCTAGGGACTGATTTGCCAATAGAAATGTTTTTAATGGCTTGATATTTTATTGCTTCGTTTGAGGAATATTCCAGAAAGTGATATGTTCAAATGAGTAATTTTGTATAATTTGATGTGAAGAAAATGTTGAATCATCAAGACTAATCCAAACCCAATTACCTTCTTGCCTCCTTGGGCTAGATAATTCTTAATTGGGGGGTGGGGGTGTTGTCCTGTGCATTATTGGATGTGTAGCAGCATCCCTGGCCCCTACTCAATACATGCCACCTCCTACAGCAAATGTGACAATCAAAAATGCCAAATGTCCCCTGGGGAGGGCAGCATTGCTCCCGGTTGAGACTCACTCAACTCCGGGGATCTCCCCTGGTTAAACATGTTTAATGGTCTTTTTTCCCATTAATATGTTTTCATTACCTAATATTAATATTTCCCTTGAGAGACTCAACATTTTAGATTTAGATACCGTGATCTCTTGCCTGAACTACTGCAAAATCCTCCTGGCTGATCTCCCAGCATCCTCTTTTTTTCCTGGTCTCCATCTTGTAATGTTTTCCCAAAACCAAGCATCATTGAGCCTTAAGCTTTCCGGTGGCTCCATGCCATTTTCAGGACAGTGGCTCAGTTCTTTCACATGCCACAGGGCCTACATGGACTCTGCAGCCTCACCTCCCACCTTACTCAGTTTCTTCTCTGTTCTTTGAGTAGCCATGCCTCTTCCATACCATCAGGGCATCTTCACGCAACCTCACCACTTCCCACATCAGGTAAAGCAACTTATTATGTACTCTCAACAGCTCCATCAAGGCTCCTTTCATAGTGGAAATTTTGCATTTAAATTTGTGATTCCATGATTAATGTCTTCCCCTAGGTTAGGATTGGCTTGCTTTGGAATTTTGACGCTCACAATTTATTCCTCAGCAACTATTTTTCACATGAGTCTATCAATTACTTCTTTTAAAGTGGCCAAACCAATTAAATGACACCCCGGATCTACCTGGGAGTTGCCAACCCAGTCTTTAGTAGATAATAGCACATAGTGACTGAATCTCATCCTTTCTTCAAAATGAACCTTAAAATTGAACACTCCCAGGAAGTCTTTGTAGGAGATCAAAACTGGCCACCCCAAAATATATCTCTTTACCTTGATTATTTTCTCTGATGGACATTTGACCTCCCTCACTAACTGCCTAAAGGAATTTAACTCTGGGTATGGCTAGACTGGCAGGGTCCTTGCTAAACCCATTCTAATCCAAGTTCTGTTTACCAAACATTTACATTTGTAAAGGTATTTCCCTCTCTGTACTGGGAAGAGTGGAGAAAGACCTTATCTCTGGAAACCGTTATCAGTGTGGAAGGAGAGGACTTAAATCTGCATACTCTTGATTACTGTGCTTCCTGGTCATCTCCCATAGCTGTCTCCTCCCCCACCCCCAACATCCTCCTTAGTCTACCTGAATATGCTATTTAAGGTGAAAAACCTCCACTATTTGTTGAGAAACTCAGTTTCCCTGGTTTCTCCCATGTATACACGTTATTAAACTTTGATTTTCTCTTGCTATTCGGTCTCATGTCAGTTTGATTTTATAGCCCAGCCAGGAAGGACCCACCGTGGGTAGAGGATACTCTTCCTCCCCCAACAGCTTCTATGATTTATTTCAATTTATGTTAATTACATGTATACAGTACTTGGAATTCATGTCCACTTTCTTCGTGCTCCGCAAATATATTAATTTCCATGGGCTTCTTGCTTGGTACATGTTTTCTACTTGCAACCCCCAATTTGCCATCCAGCCAGGACGAATGGTAAGCACCACAGTAGCACACATTGCTGTTCTGTCTCTCTCCGCACCCAGCTAGCTCAGCTAGATCGGGTCAACTAGGAGAAAGCTAGAGGAAACTGTGTAGTGATTGATTTTTTTTAAGAATCACTGCCTAGTGATACGAAAACCGACACAATCTCTTTGGAAGAGTCAAGAATGGGATATGCTATTAAAAAGTAGCTTAAAATATTCTTAAAAGAAAATATTGCAGATTTGCATGTGTTTTACGTACTATGATGTTTAGGTCTATATACACCTGAGTACCGTTAATTTCCAGCCTAAGCACGTTAAAATATTGAAGGGGAAAACCTTGAGCATTAAGTCCCGTTTATGGCTCTGCTAGGTGTGGGCAGGAACAGAGGAGGCCAGCAAAGCCCTGTTAGTCACGAGCTGTGGGAACGTGTCTCCCGGCTCCATCATCACACCCGGAAATGTGTTCACTGCCGTGTTCCAGTCTCAGGAGGCTCCAGCTCAGGGCTTCTCTGCATCCTTTGTAAGCCGTAAGTAGCCCTAAAAGCCAAACCCAGAGGTCCTTGGCAGGGTATGGCTGCCGCAGGCAGGCTTGGGGAAGAGTTGGGGGCTGTATCAGGGTTGGCTGGAACTGGGGTCCAAGGGGAAGAATATGGGTGGGTCACCTGATCTTGAGAGCACACCCTTTCTTCAAAATCACTGAGAATGGAACCGAATTCAACGGTAGTCAACTGAGAAATGTTGTAAAACGCCTGAGTTCCACTAGCCGACGTCTAAAAATAACCCTAAAATCCTAAGTGGGGCAGTAATTCAGCAAAACCCCAGAAGGCCGGTGTTAGTTGACAACCAGTGTGCCTGGCTTGCAGCTCATTGCCTACTGCATCGAAATCACCCAGGGCTTTAAAAACCCACTGATTCCTGGGCCTCACCCCAGACTTGTTGAGTGCAGCGTTTCCATGGGTGGGGACTTGCATATTTTAGCTCTCATCCGGATGATTCTCATGCTCAGTAAATCTCGGGAGCCACTTTCTTCAGAATTTTCCCTTCCTTCTCTGACTACTATTCACAAATTAGGTAGGTTAGTGGGCAGTGTAGCTGTTTTTAAGCCTGAGAAGCCTTGGTGAGTGCCAGTTGGCTGAATTAAATGGAGTAGCCACTAATTGCAAACCGCTGTTTAGGAAAAAGCTTGATGAAAGGAAATAGAGGAAGCAATGCAGTGAACGGGTATTTCAAACATGAATAAATGAATGAGGCTGGTGCAAAGGAATTAATGAAAGTCAACCCCAGGCCTAATCTCGGGTTTTCAGTTGGTTCCTTGTGTATGCGTATGTGTGTGTAACTCTATTATGTGTTTTAATATCGGTTTAAAAGGATACCAGTATTTTCATATGTGATAGGAAGTGATGTGGATTAACTAGTTAATGACATGAAAACAAATGTCATTTTAGTGGTAAAAAATGATAGTTCTCTCTATTTCTGACACCAGGGATTCATGTGAGAAATTGATAGGAGTTGGGAGTAGTAAACTCAATTGTTTTTTTTTAAAGCAGATATTGTTTTTGTGACCACATGACAATGGTAATGGAAATAACATAGTTTTCTCATAATGAGATATTTTCACACCATTAGGTGTACTGATCAGGTACAAATCACTTTTCATCACTTTTATTTCTCTGTCTACATGAATCATATTAAATCTTTGCTAAGTTATCCTTTCTTTCAATATCTTAAAATTGAGTGATTTGCAATGGATTTGTGGTAAAATTTCTACTACTAGCCCAAAAGTCTGCATCATTTTCTAAAAAATGTATAATCTTCTAATTTTGCATGTATATTTATTTTTAAATCAGAGCTCCATTCTCTTAGTTATTGTTTCTTCTGTATGAAGTATCTCAGGGAATACGTCTCTAGAGAATTTAGGAAATTTGAGTCTTTCCCTCACCGATAAAAAGATACTAAATGTGAGAACAATATTCTGATAATGTGATAGTGTGCTTTTCTTCCCCCATAGGATGTGGACGTAATTTCACTAACCCTTCAGGTTACATCGTTTCTCCAAACTACCCAAAGCAATATGACAACAACATGAACTGCACCTACATCATAGAGGCTGATCCCCTGTCCGTGGTCCTCTTGACTTTTGTGTCGTTCCATTTGGAAGGCAAGTTTATTCTTACGTAAATTACAATCGATTCTTAATAAATGAAGGAATGATAAGTAGAGGCAGAGATAGTCTGAAATCACCATTTGAAGAAAATATTAAAAATGTTGTAGGGTGTATTTGATGTAAAGTCGATTCAAATTCTATCCAATATTTTAAGAACACGTGTACCATTCTATATGTTTCATCCAGAAGTGAAAAAATAATGCAAGAGCTTTAAGAACACAAGCATCACATAAATTGCTTAAAGAGAATAGGTCTGAAATGTATTACATGTTAATAATAGTCTTTAATTTATTCATTTGCATTTATTCTACACACATACCTGTGCATACACACACCCACGTGCACGCACACAGTATAAACTAACAAGCAAGGGAAACTATTTTGCTAAAGCAAAGTAGGTGCTCAATAAATATTGAATGAGTGAATGAATTAATAAATTTCATAAATATCTGTGCTCTACTATTTCTTTTTTTTTTTTTTTTGCTGAGGAAGATTGGCCCTGGGCTAACATCCATGCCCACCTTCCTCTACTTTATATGGGACGCCACTACAGCATGGCTTGACAAGTGGTACGTCGGTGTGCACCCGGGATCCAAACCTGCAAACCCCGGGCCAGCGAAGCAGAGTGCGAGCACTTAACTGCTACGCCACCAGGCTGGCGCCTGTGCTCTACTTTTTAAAAATATTACCATGGGACACCATTTCATCTCTTTTTTCTTTTTCATCTTCATCAATCCCATGAGAATTGTGAAATCCCTCACCACAAGTGCCCCTTTGGGTTCATTCCCTGGTTCTAGGAAATAGGTTTTAGCAATAGGAACCTGGAGCTGCTGGTTTGGGCCGGGCTGTGACAATAGACACAATTAGATGTTTAATGGATGCTGTGATACCACAGAGAAAAGATCCCTTCAAGTAGATGGGTATTTTCAGCTACTCGGTCATATTAATATTTTTTACAAATTAACTTTCCATTTCCAAATTACAGTTAATCTGTAAATTTGTTAAGCTACATTGGCCTAATCAAAATTTCTTTCTCTTTGGGTTAGTCTCCCATGGCAGTGAAAAGTTACACTCAGCAAAAAGTTCTACAGTAGTCAGCATCTGGGAAATTTATGTTTCCTAAAAATAAAAATGACGTGTCAGTGTTGATACGTTGATAAATTATACAAAGCCTCTCACTTTATCCTTTTTCTATGAGCTCCTTTTCTTACATCTCTACAAGTTGTAGTTTTTGGCACGTGAGTTTGCTAGAAAATGCCAAGTATAAATTGATGTCTGTCACTGTAAAAATGGAATATGAAGTAAAATGTAATCTTTTCAGCATTTTTGCTAACGCAAAATCCCAGTAATATGAAAAGATGTTCATGATATATAAAGTATTAGGGGAGAGTAGCACGGTTTATATAACATGATCCAATTTTATATGTAAAATAACACATTTAGGTGTGTGAATAAAATCTGTAAGGCTCTTAGGCAATGCTTTAAGAGTTGTTACCACTGTGCCATAGATTTATAGATGACATATATTTTTTTAATTTTTTGTTTATTGCGGTAACATTGGTTTATAACATTGTATAAATTTCAGGTGTACATCCTTATACTTCTATTCTTGCATGGATTACATCATGTTCTCATGTTGACCACCCAAATACTAACTACAGTCCATCACCACGCACATGTGCCTAATTATCCCTTTTGCCTATAGATGATATTTATTTTCTTCTTTCTACCTTTTCTATTAATTTTATAATCGGGGGAAAGTTGTTTTAATAACAGGACTTGGATTCTGCATTTGTTTGTGCATTTGCTCTCATTAAATTACGTAAGCACAAGAATGTCAAATGCCAACGTTGTTTAGACTAAAGAAGGAGACACTGGTAAATATACTATAGCCGTAGAAAGCACTGCCAATACCAATGATGTATGGATTATTACAAGGGAACCTACACTGACCCCAAACAGTAGCTCCCTGAGTTTAGCTGATGAGTAGGATAAAGGGCCGTGTCCTGTGGATATCTGATGGGGGTGTGTAGGGAAGAGAGCACAGTATTTTAGGATGGATCTCAATGCCAGGTTGGCCCCTTGCTCATCACATGACTTTGTGCAAATTACGTATCCTTTCTTTCTGATAATCACTTTAATTTTTTAAAAATATAAAATAGTGGTTAGGAAAATCGGATAATACCTGTAGGAACGTATTTTGTGAACTATAATTCATCAGAATGGCTGTTGTTTTGTTATTTTTGCTACCACCAGTCAGGATCTCCAGACATGCCCTTAGACAAGTAAGATATTTGTTTTTGCCAGATTAAATTTCTGTTCCTACTAATGAATTTGCTAATCCTCAACCAGTTGAAGAGACTGATTTTTTTATTAAGTTATATCCTTATGATAATGTCTTGTGCATTTCCAGTGTTAAAAGTACTCAGCATTTTCAAACTGCTAAGTTAGTGATTTCTGGCTATGGATTAATTGAACTATGATGATTCCCAAAAAGGGCAACATTAATCAAAATTACTTTATAATTAGATTCTTGTTACTAATCATATCAGTGCTGATGTTCGTTGAATACCATCAACAAGCTAGAGATTCATTAGTGACAGTAAAAAGAACCTTCCACTCCTTCTAAAGTGAGCCTGAAGAATTCATGTGGAGTATATTATGATAAAACTTAGAAATGCTCTCAAGAAAAATCACAGCTTTTTTGTAGGAGCATTGACCTTTGCAGCTACTATAGGCCATAGAAATTGTTTCTGAGACACTCTGTCCAAATGACTAAGCATTTCTGAGTCCAACAGGCCAGCAGAGCCAGCATTGACCTAGGCAGCAATCAGGGTTCTAGATCTGCTCTTTAGATCTAGATTAGAACAAAAGGTGGATCTGGCAAGAAAAAGATGGGCTATGTCAGGCTACAAAATGCTAAGGGGACACACACTGGTTCATACATTGTGTCTACTAAACACGGACAACTGGTTAGGAAAGGTTTTACTATTCAGGCCAGTATACTGATTATTGAGCTACACACTGGTGCTTTCCACACAGGGAGGCTACAAAGCTTGTGACCTACTTTCCACTACTGCAAGTTTCTCTAAAAGTATGTTATGACGTTTTATGTTGGCCTAAGTCTCTCTAAACTTTCTCATTATTTTTACATTTCCAATACTATCATTCTATGAACTACAAACTTCTCATCTTTTCTGCATAATCACTACCAAAGTATAAAAATTCCAGTGAAATCACTTAAAAGTCATGGAAGAAATTTCCATTTGAGCATTTACAAGACAATTTTTTTTTCTTTCTGAGTGTAATCTCAAGACTAAAATAGCTCTCGGTATTCTTAACAGTGTCTTCCAAAGTTGTCAAATAAAATAGAGAATTGACAAATTCAAAATGTTTCTTCTGGTCAAAAATGAAACACCAGAAACAGACAAAAGCTAACAAAATGTGAGAGAGAAACTACCAATGTTTGTACTTATTTTGGAATCAGATGTTATTAAATAAATACTTACTTTATTTTCCCAAATACTGAACAGTCTAAAAGTATATTTTTGTGTTTTCATTATTTGTGTGGCCAAGTAGATGCCTCCAGATTGCTGGGAATATTATAGGCCATTATTATAATTATTATTATTATCTTTACTTCATAGATAAAGTACTTAGCAGATGAGGTAACCTAAGGCAGGTGAAGGCTTTCTGTACCTTGATTTTTCTATCATTGAAACTGGATAATGACATTGATGCATCTTTGTGATAATGAGGGGTTTAGAAATTCTTAACTAAAAAATCCTACATCTGGGCAAATTCTAAACTCAGTTTTTCTCAGATCCAGAGTATCTCTTGATAAGAATCAGACAGTAGAATAGCACCTTAGCACAGAGATTGGAGAGAACCAGAAGGACAAATGCTTTGCTCACCATCCTCTAGGGATGGCCTCAGAAGCCCCAAGAATAGGGCTAGATTTCCAGAGCAGCCAGATGGGAAGTCCTATGTAATATCTGCCTGAATTCTTTTATTAACTTAGAAGTCCTGGGTTACAAGCTACACCTAATAGAAAGCTAAAAGGAAGAAGGAAAGAAAGTTTAGTTTTACTATTTTTCCTTTTGCCCCTTTTTTCTACCAAGAAGCACAATAATTGAGTTTTCTCAGTTGTTTTAGTTCACATTCCCCCCCCCCCC